TGACTGATTATAGTTTAGGGGCAAGAAACTCAATATGAGCCTGGGAAATCCTGACATACTAAAAAGAAAGAAAGCTATCCAAAACTATTCGGATCATGTCAAAAGAACTCAGGAGGCAACTTGAAGTAACTTCCACTAGCCAAAACGGGAAACGATAATTACAAATAATTACAAAGAATAATAATTACAATGCACTGACCCATGAAATATATTTAAATACATGAGTTCATAATAATATTTGTAAAAATGCTGTTAATAATGAAAAAAAGGAGAAACAGAAGGAGAAGAAGGAGGAGGAGAAGGAGGAGAGAACCGCTGCTGGGTGCCGGCGCAGTGCCCCTCGCGGGCTGGGCACTTTCATTCCATTGCCCTTCCTTGGCCTTGGTTCCCGCTGGATGCCTTCCTCAGCTGTCGTCATGGAAACTGTCCATGCCGGGGAGGCCCCATGACCTCCGAGGGCTGTCGTAGGGGCGCTCTTTAAAGTCACTTTGGCGCCTCGAAATTCACTCTCCATCCTCAAGACCTGGGAGAGGCGAACGCTGGGGGGGCACGTCCTGAGGGAGCCAGACCCCTCCGGTGCCCGATGCTTCTCTGCTGCCGTTTGCTCTGCCAGCAGAACAGCTGACCCGGGCCCAGCTCTTTACCTGGGCTTCGCGAGGCCCCTGTCCCCGAGCGGTCCTGGGAGACGGCTCGTTCGCGGGCCAGCCAGAGCAGCTGCTCTTCTGCCCTGCTCCCCGCCACACACGGCAGCCCCCAGGAGCAGAGGGGCTGCTTTGCACGTCCAGGAACCCTGAAACGACTCAAACGTTCCTTTCCACTGAAAAACTGTCCACTGAGTCAACAGCAGGATCCATGGGGCCTCTGTGCAAGTTCCAGCTCCCACTTAGTGCCAGCCAGGCCACCACCTGGGACAACTGCACTGACCCGCTGGCCCCTGCCCATCAGCCAGGGGCCGATGGGAGCCTTTGGGCATCACAAGAAGCTCCACCCACTCATAGCACCCCTTCGCCAGTTCTGGGTGCGGCTGGCAATGGCAGTGAGCACCTTATGCCCCTCAGCCTGGGGGCAGGTACACGGCAGTTCCCCTAGGAATCCTTGGGGTTCAAAGGGTGGGCCGACTGCCACGAGCTTCCTTGCCATCTAGGGAGGAGTGTCCCAGGTCACAACACATGCATAGGCCCTGCGGATGGCGCTAGAGAGACCGGCGTCTCCAGCAACGCCCAGGTGGCTGCTGGAAGCCTGTCTTTTGTGAAACCCACAGTTCACTTGGGTGCTAATCTTTTATTTTCCCCTTTTTAGCCACTGATGACATCGTAAAAGTCGAGGTCTGGGACGTAGTTGACAAAGGTGAGTCATGTCTTTGTGACAAGTGCTTTTCTCTTTCGTGCTTTATCCGTCCTGTAAAGAGAAGAGCCACCTCCGTCCCCTTCTGTGTCCTCGGCCTGAGTGGGTGGGCCCCGGAATCCCTGGTCGCCCGGACTCAGCGATGGCGCTGCCCCTCGCACACGGCGGGGGCCACTGTCAGTGTCTACTCACAGGAGCCCTGGCCTGGGAGGCCCGGTTCGGTGCTAACTGTTCGTTAGCGTCTGGGTCCCGCGCCAGTTCCCCTGCGTCTGGTGGACGGGACGAGTGTGCAGCAGTGACCTGTCAGGGACTGTGGTCTTTGCTGTTCGAACATCTGTTTTACCTCCTGAAACCAAGCTGGGGGCAGCGGGGACAGACGTGGCTGGCCGCGGGCAGGCTGCTGTCCCCGAGGCCTGCGTGGAGCCCTTCTGGGAGCCCGTGCCGCCGGTGCCGCCCCCCAGGTAGCAGAGTCCCCGTCCCTCAGCGCCCCTGTGCCCAGGGCCAAGGACCAGCTCCCTGCTTCCGAAGCAGCCATCCCATGGCGCTGCCCGCTGTGCTGCTCTATGCTGTCAGGTCCCCAGCACACCCGGGGACCACCCCGTGCTCGCCTGGTGGTGAGGGGCGGCGCACCCCCTCAGCGTCTCCTGTTACTTCCCTCCAGCACTCAGGCCGCACGTCCCTCCTCCGTGACGCCCAGGGGAGCCCATGCTCCTCCCGGTGCCCTGCATGCGGCAAGTGCTGCCCAGCGTGGTGCGACCTCTGACCTCACAGGCTTGTCGTAGCTGCATGTGTCCTCCAGTGACAAAGGAGGCTGTGTCTTTTGCGAGCTTGCGGTTTTGGAGGCAGAGAGTGCAGGCTCCTCTCTCCCCGGCCGTGCTCTTTGGTGGTGGGTTTGGTTGCCAAGGACCGATTCAGCTGGCACAGGACAAGGGAGGGTGCTGGCAGTCCTGGGCCCTGACTGCCCGCAGGGTCACCGAGCGAGAGCTGCTGCCAGCCAGGACCCTGTGGCACCCGTGTGGCCCTGATGCCTCCAGGTCGTGCCTGCAGCGCATCCGTGAGTGTGTGCGGGCTTGTGCGTGTTTGGCAGGCAGCCCCGCGCAGCCCGGTCACTGTCCCTGGGGCGAGGAAGCCGTCACTTGGCCCAAGCTGCTGTCCACGCCCTGGGTACACCCCCCAGCCCTGCCGTCCCCTAGGCCTGCACTTGTTCGGGTAGGATGGGGTCAACATTTGGGGATGGGAAGTGTCCCACCATCGAGGACACAGCACACTTCTGGAAGTGTGCTGTGTCCTCGATGGTGGGACGTGCTCTGTGGTGCGGAGGCAGACACTGCCCATCCCAGGGGACCTTCACGTGCCCCGCTTCCTCCCGGCATAAGCCGTGAGCCTTGCACACCGTGAAGTGCTGTGTGGGCCAGGCTCCTGGGACCATCGCTCTGTGGCGTGGAAGGGAGGTGGGGGGAGGTGGGGCCGCACAGCAGGGGGAACGGTCCCCAGCAGGTGCAGGTCTCTGTGTCAGCTGCTCCCCTGGGGCAAGAACTGTGTTGAGCTGAAAGAAAACCGTCTTCTCTCTGCCACCCTAACTCGTCACCTGCTGGACAGGGTCAGAAGGCGGTGGGGGTTCAGGAAGAGGCTGTGGAAAGAGGCAGGCGTTGATTTTTTAGTAAATCAACGCCAGTGTGTTCTGGGGGGTTTGTTTTGCCTGCTCTTCTGAGACTGGGGGACCCCGGGATTCCCAAGGTGAGACCAGTCCGTCTTCAGCCGTGGGGGCAGAGAGGGGATGGCAGCGCAGCTGCGTGTCGGGCCATCGGAGGCCAACCTGGCTCCACGCTCCTCGGCCCTGCCTGGGCCGCACGTCCAGCTTGCCCGCCCTTGGCACCAGCTCAGGGGAGCAGCCATGGCCTCAAAGGCCGCCCCGCAGAGGCCGGGCTGAGCTGGCCCATGCCAGCTGGCAGCGCTGTCCCAGAGCTGGACCCGTGCCAGTCCGGGAAGCGCCTGGTTCCCAGGCCCATCTGCCACAGCCCGTTGGGGCCTTTGCCAGGGAGACCCCCTGGGGTCCTGGCTGTCTCCTGCTGCCAGCGGGGCCTCCCAGTGCCAGGACAGCCCCCAGGTCTGCAGTTCGTGTGGCACTTCCTGGAGGTGGTGGGACGGCATGGGGAGGGGGTGCTCCTGCCTCAGGCCAGCCTTGGCCCAGCAATTCCACCCGGTAATTTCTGTGTCTTTCAATAAGGAAAATGCAAAAAACGAGGTGACGGCCTGAAGATGGAGAATGACCCCCAGGAGGTGAGCTGCGTCCTGCCCCGCGTGTCCCCTGATGCTGGGTGGGGGAGGTGAGCGGATGCCCGCTCACCAGACCCCGCGGCCTGGCTGTCCCAACTACTGGCGGGACCCTGTGCTAGCCACAGTCAAACTGGGGTTGCTGGACCCGCCTGAGCCACTGTCGCATGTCAGTGATGCCGGCCAGGCCCTACGCCGAGTTTGAGTGACCTGAGGGGGACTTAGGTGAACTGGCCAAATTTTGTATCCCCGCCACAGAGGCTTCAAGGCCATAAAAGCACAGGACCTTCCTTTAAGCTGTGGCCTTGGGCACACATGGGCATGAGCGTGGCTCCCAGTGGGCTCTCGTGTGGCCGCCACCCTGGACACACAGCAGTTGGGGTCCAGCCAGCTCTCTTTGTTCTGGGGAAGCTCTCTAGTTGTTTCCATGGGCCCCGTTCTCTGTCTCCCTGTCCGTAGTTGGCCTCAGGGTGGGCAGTCTCTTTGCTCCTCTTCGTGTTCGGGAGGTTAAGTGACCACCTGGCCCGTGTCTGTCTGGCCCTTTGTGCGGCACGTTGCCGCTGCCCCCAGCATGGCAGCCACCCTGGTCTGTGTGCTCTACAGTGGTCCCCAACCTTTCTGGCACCAGGGCCCGGTACTCCTATGAGAATCTAGTGCCTTATGTGAGGTGGAGGCGAGGTGGGGGTGCTGGTGCTGGGGAGCAGCTGCAGATAGACAGAGCTTCACTGCTCGCCCGCCGGTCACCCCCTGCTGTGTGGCCTGTTTCCTAACAAGCCACAGACTGGTATTGGTCCACGGCTCGGGAGTTGGGCACCCCTGCTCTGGAAGATTCTCTGCAGCCGTGTTTCCGTGGTGCTGGAATGCACATCTCACCGTGGCGTGCTGGCTGCCCCAGCACTGTCATCCTGGGTGGCGGAGAGTCTGGGACCCTACAGGCGAGGCGCTCCCGGTGGCTAGTGGAGAAGAGCCCGCCCAGGTCGGGGGCCGAGGCGCTGTGGCCTCAGGGCCTGAAGGAGTTACTGCCAGACCCTTTGAGGCAAAGTGACCCCACGCTAGATGCTGTTGTGTTTATGTATTTTTTTCCAAAATGAAAATAGCTATTGTCTTTTCAGATTGTAAAAGTCCTGTTCAGCCTTTTCCAGATGCCGGTCCACATCTGTGGGACCCCTCCAGAAGCCCCAGCCCTCACGCCCGATCCCCTCCCATCCCCAGGCAGAGTCCGAGCTGGCCCTGGACGCGGAGTTCCTGGACGTGTACCAGAACTGCAGTGGCGTGGTCATGATGTTCGACATCACCAAGCAGTGGTAAGGCCCCCGCGGTCCAGCAGGTGGCGCCGCGGCCTCCCTGCTGCTGCCCAGTACTTCCGGGGGCCGTGGGCGGGGCGCACACCCGCAGTCTAGCCACTCAGGACCCCCGGCAGAAGTCTCCGGGTGCCTGCGTGGTGACTTGGCGCCGGGCGTGGGGATCTTCATGCCTGCGCGCAGAGGGCGGGCTGGCCGTGGCGGGGGAGGGGGTGGCAAGGCTCATGCCTTCCACAGACTTCCTGAAAACACTGTCTAAAATGGATCAGAATCAAGTGGCCACTTGAGTTAGGGGCTCCCGGGACCCCCCACATTCTTTGAGTTGCGCCGGGAGGACGCACAGGATGCCATCCCCGTGAAAGGCTCCAGAGCGAGATCAGCAAGGGCGGGTACGGGGGTGAGTGCGTCAGCTCCCAGGGCCTCCGCGTGGAGGTGCGTGGGACTCGACTCTGGGAGGAAAGCGGGCGCCGCCAGCCACCGTCGGGGTCGTAGGAGCGGGCGGGGGGCAGCCTCCTGGGCAGTCCGGGCTGCTCTCGGAAGGGAAAGTCTTCGGGATGCCGCAGGAGGCGCTGCAGCATGTTTTAGGAGCGGCCCGTGGGGCGCTCGCCTGCCTTTCACTCCGCTTTTTAAGTGTTGCTGTTACTGCGTGTGGAGCCCACGCGGCTCCGCTGTCCTTCGCTGGAGCCCAGCCAGGCCTGAGCGCCAGTCGCGGGCAGCGTTTCACGGGGAGGGGTGGGGGAAGGGTGCGCACCACTCTAGCTGAAGGGCACACGCGGCCGCGGGGGGTCACATCGGCCATCCACAGGCGCCCAGCAGTGCTGCCCTGCAGGACACCCCTCCCAGTGTGGACTGACCTCCAGCACACGCGTGACAGCCCCTGGGTGGTGGCCGGCAGCGTGTTGGTAACACGTGGAGCGGAATGCTGGAGCTGTGAGCACACACGTCACCGACACATCTACACGAGCCCAGCTCCGCTCCTCAGGGCAGACGCGTCTTCAGGCCCGGGGATCAGGTGCCTTCTCCTGTGGAACTTGGCAGACACACTGCCGGTGGCCACCCAGCGTCACTGATGCGCCCTGTATTCTTGCCGGACGAGTAGGGACCTGAATTCCAGGAAGAGTGACACAGGAAAGCTGCGAGTGGGTGGCCAGGGGCCACGTGTGCCTACCAAGGACAGGAGACAGGGCGAGCAGGCCAAGGCAGGCCTGGGGAAGTGGTGGCGGACGCGTGTCCGTGAGGCCGTGAGACCTGGGCACAGGTGTCCGGTGGGCAGGTGGTGCCAGGCCGAGGAGCCTGGGCGAGGTCAGGTAGCTGGGGCCCTGAACACTAGTGTTCCCGGACACTGCCTGGGGCCCCGCCGTGCCCGGGGAACGGAGAACACCGCTGAGGCGGCCTGCGTCCGAGCGGCTGTGCACCCCCAACAGGTGTCTCGGCGTCCTAGGGTGCCATGGCGGGGCAGACGCAGGGGGCAGACGCCCTTGGCCTTGGACGGTTTGCGTGTGTGTAAACGTGGAGTGTGATGCGCTTTCTACTGGTTTGTACTGGTTTTCTCTAGATTAGGGAGGTTTTGTCACACCGCTGCTGCTCATTCCCACGTGCCATTTTGAAGACAGCGTGTGACAACTCTGTTAGGCTGAGTGACCGTCAGCCCCACAGGAATGGGCCCTCTGTCAAGGGACCATGCGAGACCCCCATGTCCACTGAAGAGCAAAGCCCTGAGGCAGCAGAGGGGACACCTCAGAGAGCCCCATGGGCCACAGCTGTGACTTGCAGAAAAGTCACAGGACACACAGGAAGGGGACTCGTGAGCAGCTGAGAACGGGCAGCCCCACAGCTGTTCTGTGGAGTGGGGGGGCGGGCAGGGTGGCGTGCCCCACGGCTGGGGAGGGCCCACAGGGCCAGGGTCTCAGCACCAGAACTCAAGTGGGTCTCTCCTTGCATGGCCCCCCAAGGACCTTCAGCTACATTCTGCGGGAGCTCCCGAAGGTGCCGACCCACGTGCCCGTGTGCGTGCTGGGTAACTACCGGGACATGGGCGAGCACCGCGTCATCCTGCCAGACGACGTGCGTGACCTCATCGACAGCCTGGACAGGTGGGTGCTGTCCGGCACCTTGCAAGTCTCCTGCCTGGGGCATGCTCCTGGCCCACCATTCTTGGCCTCCAGGCCCCGCTGCAGCCTCCCACACACCTAACAGGCCAGGGCACCAGCCGCCCTGCCCTAGTCACGCAGGGCGTGGGTTGGGGGCCACGGCACTGAGCAGACGGTGGGGGGGCTGGATAGTGTGGGGGTGTGCTCAGGGATGTGCATGGGGACCCGGTGGGAGGGAGGGCTGCGTGTAGCAAGGGTTGCAGAGTGAGGACCAAGGCCTGGCAACTGGTCCTGGCACCGAGCAGACCCGAGAGGGGAGGGTGCTCGGGCCCCGTCCAGGCATCGCCCAGTGGGCAATCAGCTAAGTGGGGCCCACTGAGGCTTCAGTCTAGGCCCGGGGACCGTGGGGCCACTTGGCTGTCATTCTTGCACCAGGGGGCAGTCACCTGCAGGAGGCACCTTGGGGAGGTAGGGACTTGAGGGCAGCCTGGCCGGGGTGCAGTTCTTGGCCTGGAGGGGCTGTGCCTGGCTGCCCACGGCCATCGCAGTCTCGCGGCCATTCTTCTTGCAAGCAGGCCGCCAGGCTCCTCGTACTTCCGCTACGCCGAGTCCTCCATGAAGAACAGCTTCGGCCTGAAGTATCTCCACAAGTTCTTCAACATCCCGTTCCTGCAGCTTCAGGTGAGCCCTGCCTGCTGGCGGCAGCAGACGCTCGCTTCTCCGCTGCTGCTTGGGCGCGTGGCTGGGCCCCACCTTCATCCCCAAGGAGCACTTTGGCAGCTTGACACAGTCCCTGGTTAGAATTTAGGGTGCTGGCACTGGTGGCCCCAAGGTGGCCTGCCCTGTTCTCTCCTCTCTGCCGAGTTGGCTTGGGGCCTGGGCCTTTCTAGAACCACAGCCACAGCTGCGCTTGCATGCAGGCGTCCGAAGACGTTCTTAGGCGGAGAACCGACATCTGGACCGGTGGGTGCTGCAGCCCCGCCCCTCAGCCTCTGCACTGGCCCCCGTGCCGGTCCCTCCTCACCATGGATGCCCACGCTGCACCCCAGCTCCTCTGGTCCCCTCTCGTGGCTGGGCCAGCCACTCTCACTGTGTACCTGGTCCCTTTCAGCAGTAGCTGTAGGGCCGGGCCCGGAGGTGCGTGGCCTCCGGTCCAGATGTCCTGTCCTCCTCCCGTTGTGCACATGCAGCCAGGTTTGCAGCCCACTGGGCCCAGCTGTCACCCCTGCTGGGACTTCTCATCAACCCTTTGCTTTGGAGTGATTCTTAGACTTACGGGCAGTCGCTGGGGTGGCACAGGGAGTTCTGTTTCCTCAGCGTGTCCCATGTTACCCTCTCACGTTTCTGGGCTATTTTTGTCAGAACCGTCAGCCCGTTAATGAAACGCAGGGCTCTCTCCGCCTTCCGTCCTTTGGGCCCCTTCTGTCCCACCTCACAGCAGTCGCTTTGCCTCCTGGTAGAACCCAGAGGTGACGCCCTTCGCATCATACAGTGGCACAGGGCACGTGACACCGACCCAGCTTGTCACCAGGGCGTTCCCAAGGCTTCTTTACAGCCACAGTGGTTTCCATTCTCTCTCGAAAAGGATGTGGGATTTGGGGGACTGTGGGTTGTTTTCTCTTCTTTTTATTTTGAAAGAAACGTGGACCCCGCAGGCTGGGGTGGGTGGCGGTCCCGCTCAGACACAGGCCAGGTGTACTGCCCGCTCCGCGCAGCGGCCTGCCATCGTGCTCCGCTGTGCTTACAAATGCTTTTAGTTTTTATCTGAGTGCGACATGCGGGCCTCTAGTTCTCTGCACAGCGATGCCTCATGCCGTCCGTGTGCCTGCCATTTAGTTCCCCGAGAACCAGCCGAGCGGGGCCGCGAGGCTGGAGAGGGCGGCTCGCTGCAGTGACGCTCTCTGCTCACGCCTCTGCTGCTCTCCCGCAGAGAGAAACGCTTCTGCGACAGCTGGAGACGAACCAGCTGGACATCGATGCCACGCTGGAGGAGCTGTCGGTGCAGCAGGAGACCGAGGACCAGAACTACGGCATGTACGTCGGCCTGGGCGGCTGGACCCATGGGCAGGGCTCTGTGGGAAAGGTGACACGGGCACCTGCAGGCCAGGGCCGGGGCCCGTGCTGCCGAGACAGCAGAGTGCGTGCCACCCATCCCGGGCAGAACTGTCAGCCTGGGCGACTTGTGTGGCTCCAGCCGTGAAGGTGGTGATGCTCGGAGACCGGGGTCCGGGCCCCGCGGGGGTGAGGGTGGGCACCGCCGTGCCGGGAGGCCTGCAGCCCGTCTGTTCCTTGTGCCGAGGTTCTCCTTTAAGGAGCAACGGTCAACATTCAGAGCGAGGGAAGCGCTTCTCCGGAATAGGTGGGCTGGGTTCTAAGCAGAGTCCACCCGACCTGGGAGGAGGGCGCAGGGTCCTGCAGGCACTCCCTGAGGATGGCAGGTCTGGCGCCCAAGGCTCTGCTGCCCGCTGCCCAGTGAGCACGCTGGAGCCACGCCTCCTTTAATGGGCCTCATAGGACCCACAGGGCGCTCTGAGCCAATGGGCACAATCAGAGATGGTTGCTCAGCCTCCTCTCAGGACAGCCACCTGGCTGTGGGGACACAGGCACATGCAGGCAGTACAGCTGTTGGTGCTGTAACTGCCTCTGTCCAGACCAGCCTCACCAGTTGGCTGCCTGGCATGTGGCACCAGGAGCCACTGACCCAGGCCGTGTGTCCACGGCCCAGTGAGACTGGCCACCGCGATGTTTTCTCTCTAAGGCTGCCGTCACTGTTTGGGGCCAGCTGCCCAGGCTGACACCAGCATAGGGGTGGGAGGGTCTCTAGAGAGCTCCTTGACCTCGGAAGGGTTCATGGTGGTACAGAGCCTTGGGGAGTAGGAGCAGAACTTTCTGGTCCTTGACGGTGGGGAGGCAGGGCTCAGAGTGGGCGTTGTCCTGGGCTGCCCGTGTGTACTTCCGGCAGACGGCGAGTGGGCGCCCAGAGCTGGTGGCACCTGTCCGCAGCTGCTAAGAGAGTCAGAGGCGCTGTTTCAGGGGGACAGGCCCCTGAACTTCCCCTGCAGACAGGTGTTTCCCAGAGAAACAGCTCAGTGCCTGGGCTGTGGCCCAGGCACGACGCTTGTGCGTCCTGACACCCAGCAGGGTCTGTCGGAAGGGCCTTCGGGGCTCCGCGGAGTCAGATCTGGCTGTTGGTTCTGGAACCAGCAAGAGAGTGAAGGGCCAGAGCCCTGGCAAGGGCGTTTCCACCCAAGGGGGCCCCACCCTAGCCGCCCAGAGCCTTGTCCCCTGAGGAGATGGTCATTGGCACCCTTGCCACCCAGGACTGGGGCCCTGAAAGCAGGCAACGCTGGTAGGGGCTGGCTGAGGCCTGGGCCAGAGCCGTGCTGTGGGGCCAGAGGCTGGACTCCACTCGCAGCCCACGCCAAACCCCAGCCCCAAAGTCCCAACCTCAGCGTGAGGGTGGCCAGCGGAGATCCCTCCATCCCAGTCCCCAGGGACTCCAGCCTGCGGGCAGGGCCAGCCCTCACCCCAGGCCTGTTTAAGGGAGGCCTTGCTGCAGGCCCAGCCTCGGACCACGGAAACCTCCTCCCTGTGAGCTGCCCTGCCATCCCAGCGGGGTCAGGGGGCATGGGCGGGAAGGGCCAGCGACTCCCAGGGGATGTTATGCATGATTCTGTGGGGCGTCAGGGCTGCTGAGCCTGACAGCAGGGACACTGCTGTCAGTGTCACCAAATCAGGAAGAGACGAGGCAGGTGTCTCACTCCTGCCCTCTGTGCCCCCAGCTTCCTGGAGATGATGGAGGCGCGTAGCCGCGGCCATGCAGCCCCCCCAGCAGCCAGTGGGCAGAGCCCGCCCTCGGGCTCCCAGTCCCCAGTGGTGCCCAGCGCTGTGTCCACGGGGAGCTCCAGCCCCAGCACGCCCCAGCCGGCCCCACCGCCACCCCTGCACACCCCCTCGACCTGCCCTACTCCCCTGTCCCCCGTGGAGGCTTCGCTGCCCCCGACGCATACTGTGGCCCCTGCCCAGCCCCCAAGACGCAGCTTCATCTCCCGGCTGTTTGGGACCTCGCCGGCCACTGAGGCGGCCCCTTCGCCCCCAGGTAGGCTCCGCAGGAAGAAGCCTGGGCAGCCCAAGTGGTGGCGGGCGCACGAGCTCCCTGAGACTGAGACCGGGTCCCCTTCCCCATTGTGGCACCTTGACGGCCCAGTCACACGCCACCCCTTTGTGCCCTGGCCCTGTGGGCGCAGATCCAGCCACTGCTGCAGAGGCCCCAGTCAGAGTCCAGGACGTGGAGGATTTCGTCCCTGCAGACAGCCTCGACCACAGCTTCCTAGAGGACTCAGCCCCCTCGAGGGATGGGGATAAAGTTGGGGCCGAGGTCCCTCCGGATAGTGACAGGTAAGGGTGGCACTGGGCTGCCTCTGAGCCCCGGGCCTGTGCCCTCGACAGCACCACCACAGGCAGCAGCTTCCCGAGTTAGGTCCCACCAAACATCTCCCACATCACCACGTCCCTCCAAAAATGCAAACTGACAGGATGAAGGCAACACGCTCCCACCCCAGTGCCTGACATGGCCTGTGAGCCCCTCCATCCCTCTCGGCCCCACCTCACACTCCCTCTCCTGTGGCCTGTGTGCTGCTGATGCTTCTGCCATAGCAGTGGGGCCTCTGCCCCCCACAGCACTCTCCCATCCCAGACCATCCTGGAAATAGGTCCCCATTTGCCACGTGTGCCCCCATAAGAATGTGAGTGCCAAGGTGAGCAGCCCCACAGTCGGTGTCCACGCCTGGCACAGAGGGTACGTCTGATGCCCGTTGATGCCAGAAGTGCTCAAGGTGGGGAGCCAGGCGCTCCATACCCTGCCATGACCTCTGACCACCCTGCTCTTCCTTTGCAGCGATGGGGAGGCCCCAGGAGGGAACCCAATGGTGGCAGGTTTCCAGGACGACGTCGACCTCGAGGATAAGACACCTATCAAGCCCCTGCTATCCATAAGCCCTGTCCTCGGGGAGAACCTCACTCACTCCAGTGCAGACGTAGCAGGGCACCCCAAGGCCACTATCTTGGCCCCACAGAAGTGCCCGGAGCAGGAGACCAAATGGTATGTAGAAAGGACCTTGGGGGAAATGGCAGGGATGGCCACTGGCCCCCCGACATCATCTTCCTTGTCCCAAAGGTCCTCCACAAAGGCCTCGAGGCCACACAGGGGCACAGCTCCTAGGACTGCTGAGGACTTCTCTCAAGGGCATGAGGATAAGAAGGAGGAGCTGGCAGCATCGTCAGAGAGTGACCCCGAGGGGCCAATTGCTGCACAGATGCTGTCCTTCGTCATGGATGATCCTGACTTTGAGAGCGACTCAGACACTCCAAGGAGAGTGGTGAGGATCCCCAAGGACACGCCTGGGACGGGGTGGGGTGGGAGGGGGGTGAAAGTTTGAGAGTGTTGGGCAACATCATGGTGAGGCCAGAGCTGGAGTTCAGCCTGTGCGACTTGTCCCCAGACGCAGGCCTGTCCACCCACCATGGTGACAGCAGAGTGGAGGGGCTGGAGCATCCGGGCTGCCACACTCAGGCCTTGCCGTGGCCCAGAGACAGGGTCAGGTGTGGGGCCCCCCGAGGGGGCTTGTCACTTGCCCGGGAAATAGGGGAGCCTAAGTCCAGGGGTCACATGACAGAGGGAACTGGGGCAGGGGATGGCTGCGCTACCTGCCCGCTCCTTCTCCAGGGTGAGTTCCCAGTACGCGAGGACCTCTCCGACATGACCGATGAGGATGCCAGCCCGGCCCCACAGCCCTTGGCCTCCAAGCCCCACGGCCCCCCCTTCCGAGTGAAGGACGATGCGGACCTGTTCGGGCTGGGGCTGGTGGAGACCGGCCACAAGGCGAGCGGCAGCGAAGGTAGCTGGGGACCTGGGCGCACCTGCTCACATCCTCTGTCCTCATCCCCGTCCTGCTGGAGTCCAGGTGCTGGATGACCTGCGGAAGCCCAGCCACGGGGCACGTTTCTGACCCCTTCCCTGTCCCTTTTTACCTGGGGGTCCTCAGCAGTGGTTCCCTGAGAAGCCCCACCCCAGGCATTCCTCCAGCCTGCTTGGGGTCCAGCTGTGTTCCGATGACAAACTCTGGGACCAGGCTACAGGCTGGGACTGGGCTACAGGGACCTGACCGAGTGTCCTCATGTCCTCATGGGAGGGATTTGGTGCAGCTGGGAGCTGGCTGAAGCCTGCGTGTGCCCAGGGTCCAGTCCTCCGCGGATTCCACTGGCGTGGTCTCCAGGCCCAATGTGCAGTCGTGGCTCCATGTGCCCTTGGCCCTGTCCCCACCCTTTGCCGTGGGTCCCCTGAACCCAGTTCTGCCCCAACTACTAGTGTCACCTGGGACATGTCCCAGAAGCTCTGGGTCCCCAGAATGGAAAAGAAAGGACCTGCCCGGGCTTGTCCTGGGGGTAGAGCGTTTCCCCCGCTGAGAGTGCACCAGGGCCAGTGGGGGCTGCCCAGACCCAGGACAAAGGCTGGGGGGCTGCAGCTGTGGGGCTGCAGCTACGGGCTTTTGGTGGTGCTGCCCCTGGAACCATGGTTCAGGGGCGTCTGCAGAAGCCTGGGGAAGCCCAGCGGGGGAGCTGACACGTGTCCTTGCCCGTGCAGATAAGGAGGGCCGGCCTCTCTCCAAGGAGAAGGAGAAGAAAAAGAAGAAGAAGAAGAAAGGCAGAGAGGTAGGTACACTGCGTCCCGGGCCGGCGTGGGGCGGGAGGACGCGGCGCGGGTCCTGGGAAGGCGCTGGTCCCCTGGCACCCCCTCCCCCGCTGACACTGCGCCGTGCCCCCAGGAGGAAGAAAAGGCAGCGAAGAAGAGAAGCAAGCATAAGAAGAGCAAGGAGGAGGAGGAGGGCCGCGAGCATGGGCGGCGGCGGCCTCGAGGCCAGAGGTCTTCGGTGGACGCGCTGGAGGCCTTCCTGGGGGGCGGGGCCCCGAGCGGCCACCTCCGCGGGGGCGGGGACTATGAAGAGCTCTAGGCACGGCTGCAGAGGCAGGGCTCGCTCACTGCTGGCTGGGGGCGCTGGGCCAGCCCTGCAGGGAGGGGGCAGCGGGTGACTGGCCCCCCCGCGCTTCTCAGGGAGGGACAGAGGCCCAGGAGGCCCGTGAGGCTGTTTACAGGGGCGGGGCGCGTCCTCGTCGCCGCCAGGCTCCTGCTTGCCCCAGCCCACCGCATGCGCGCGAGCTCCGCTTCCTGCGCTGCTCCACTCGGGCTGCCGGGCGCCTGTTCCCTGGGCCCTCTGGGCAGTGCAGGTGCCTCTCCCAGGGGAGGCTCTTCCCGGGCGTGGGGTCCAGTGTTGCCCCGCACGGGCGTGCCTGCCAGCCCGCGCAGGGAAGTCCCCGTTCGTTTCCTTTTTCTCCTTCCACTCCTGCCCCCCATAAAGCTGTCCTGTTTCACTGCGTGTCTCCGTGTTCCCTGCTGCTGGGCTTCGGGGCAGCGGGGCGGGCGCGCCTGCCAGCGCCCTTTGCTCCCGGTTGTGGTGGGTTGGTGGGAAAGGCCTGAGCATCCTGCCTTTGGACCAAAGAACCGTTTTTCCCTCCCAGAAGGGCAAGCTGCCCTCTGGGGTAGCAGGCCTTCCAGCACCACTGGCCAGGAGTGGTCTTCAGAGGACGTCCCAGCAGACCCAGCCCGATAGCCAAAGGCTGGGCCAGCATGGCCACTATCCTCTGTGCCTGTCCCCACCCACCTAGGCAAGGCTGGGCGATTGCACTCAGGAATAGCTGAGGGTGTCCAGCCCTCCGAGGGCAGGTGTGTCTGTGCCCTGCCGGCCTCCCACAGTCCCTGTTCTGTTCCAGCCACCTCCCTCTCCTTGGCACCTTCATCCGGGAAACTCCCCTCAGGCCCTGCCCCCAACAGCTCCCACAGCACCCATCCCTGCCCACCGTCCTCAGTTGCCATGAGAACTGCTTCCATAGTGGAGCTGCCCTTCCCTCCGGGGGTGGGCGGGGAGTAGCTGTGCCTCCCCTTCCCTTTCACTGGTTCCTGTGCCAAGAGTTTGCACCCAGGGGGGACTGGGACAGCAGTCACTGGGCAGGTGCTGGGCGACAGGCACCAAGCCCATACGTAGGGACTCCCTTTACAGCCTGTGAGGTTGACCATCCTTGAGCCCATGAATGTGGGGATAAGGCCAATGTGAAACGGATTGCCCAGGGCCCACATCCAACAGGCCCACAGTGGGCACCCTGCTCTTTGGAGCCCAGGGTATCCCTGACCCACCCCTCTGCTGAGCTAGAATGTTCCCTGGCTCAGCATCTCATTTGGGAGGGGGCTAGAAAGGATGTCACGATGTGGCTTGAGTGGGCCACCTGCAGACCTGCCTAGGGCAGTGACAGCCCTCACCTATCTGGACACTGGATGCCGGGGGCAGGGGGGAGGACAGGAGCGCCTCCTTGCAGAGGAAAGACTGGGCATCCTCGGCAGGAGGCCCCAGGCCCCACCCAGACATGGGAGCCAGATGGCCCCTGGTACCTTTAGAGCTTAGCACCTCCAACGCTGCAGCAGAACCAGCGAGGCAGGGAGCGGCCCATCTGCTCCTGCCTGGGCCCAACCCAAGGTGTGAATTCCGGGAGTAAATTCTGGGAGCTGGCCACAGCCCCGGCCAGTCCTTGGGGTTCCTTCAGAGCCCTGCTCCCGCAGCCTGCCAGGCCACCAGCTGCCCTCAGGCAGATGTCCTCCGGGACACCAGGTGGGGGATGGCAAAAACACAAGCCTGCCCTATGGGTCCACGCACCCTGCTTAGACTCTAGGCCTGCGCCTCATGAGCACGGGGGGAGGTGAATGGGGAGATGAGGGGCTGCCACGCAGTGCCCAGCAAGGCTCAGTGCGGAGCCAGCAGACCACGCGGATCTCAAGTGTCCGGTGCGGCCCCTTTAAGTGCAACCCCGCCGGCCGCCATCGGGGGCAGCACTGAACGCCGGACGGCCTCCGCGCCGCTGCCTCGAAGCTTCTGCCGGTGCCGGGGACGCGGCGCGGATGCGGCGACGGAGCAGCGGAGCGGGGGCCGGCGGGCATGGGCCGGCACAGCCCATCGGACTCGACGTTAGCGTGGCACCAAGGTAAGGGATAGGGGTCGCTGACCTATGCGCCCTGTCGGGGGGGGGGTCACCCATAGGATGGGGGGGTTTCTGCCCCTAGCCGACACCGGCCGATCCCGCGAAGGCCGCTCTCAGCTGGGGACCGGGGGACAGGCTGCAGGGTGGGAAGGGCCGCCCGCAAAGCTCATTAGGCCTAGTACCCAAGCTGAGCAGACCACCGCCATCCCCATGAAGTGGGTGCCTTCCTCATCACGGCAGCAGCAAGGCCAGGCTGTCACCTCCCTGGGGCGGAGCCTCATCCTGTCATTCGGCCCCCAATTCAGGCCTGGCTTTGAGCTCAGGATGGATGGAAGGGGGTGGAAGGAGCATGGTCCCGTGAACCAGGTATAAAGTTGGGGTGGACCTAAGGTTAGGATGAGGACAGGTCCTGGGCCTTGATGGCCCAGATCAAGAACAGACCTGGTGGGAAGCCCCTTGCACACCTGGGACACAGGGTCTACCCAACCAGAGGTCCTGCCAAGTGAGGGCCCAGCCCCCCTTCCCCAGCTCGCCCTGGAGCATGCTCCCCAGGATGTGTGAGGAGGTCAGGCCCTGTCAGCATCATCTAAGCCCTGCTGCAGCTGTCCAGGCCCTGGTACCTGAGGGGTGGGTGGCCCAAACCTGAATGTGAGCCTGATGTAGAGGGGTGGACCTGTACCCAGCCGGTATCCCGATGGGGGGGGGGTAGGCATGAAACCTCAGGTTTCCATGGAGCCTGCCTGAGCTGCTATGGGGAGAACCCGCTCCTGAGAAGGGGGAGGGGTTTTACCCACCCCCACTTGCCTCCTCT